TGTTGTTAGGTGCTGTCGAGTTGGTTCCAACTCATAATGATCCTATGTACAAAAGAATGAAACACTGCCCAGTCCTGCACCATCCTCAGAACTGTTGCTATGCTTGAGCCCATTGTTGCAGCCACTGTATCAATATATCTCATTGAAGGTCTTCCTCTCTTTCACTCACCATCTACTTTACCGAGCATGGTGTCCTGGTCCCTCCTGATAACATGTCCAAAGTATGTGAGACAAAGTCTCACCATCTTCACTTCTAAGGAACATTCTGGCTGTACTTCTTCCAAGACAGATTTGTTTGTTCTTCTGGCAGTTCACGGTATATTCAATATTCTTCGCCAACACCGTAATTCAAAGGCATCAATTCTTCCTTGGTCTTCCTTATTCACTGTCCAGCTTTTGCATGCATATGAGGCAATTGAGAATACCCTGGCTTTGCTTTTTAACACTTTAAAGAGGTCTTTTGCAGCAGATTTGCCCAGTGCTATACGTTGTTTGATTTCTTTCTTTTTAAATTGTGTTTTAAGTGCAAGTTTACAGCTCAAGTTAGTTTCTCATACAAAAATTTATACACACATTGTTATGAGACCCTAGTTGCTCTCTCTGTAATGTGACAGCACACTCCTCCTTTCCACCCCAGATTTCCCATGTCCATTCAACCAGCTCCTGTCCCTTTCTGCCTTCTCATCTCACCTCCGGACAGGAGCTGCCTATTTATTCTCATGGATCTACTTGAACTAAGAAGCACTGTCTTCATGGTTATCACTTTATGTCTTATAGTCCAGTCTAATTTTTGTCTGAAGAGCTGGCTTTGGGAATGGTTTTAGTTCTGGGTTAACAGAGACTCCGGGGGCCATGTCTTCCGGGATTCCTCAAGTGTCAGTCAGACCATTAAGTCTGGTCTTTTTACTAGAATTTGAGTTCTGCAACCCACACCTTTCTCCTGCTCCGTCAGGGACTCTCTGTTGTGTTCCCTGTCAGGGTGGTCATTGGTGGTAGCCAGGCACAATCTAGTTCTTTTGGTCTCAGGCTGATTGAGTCTTTGGTTTATGTGGCTCTTTCTGTCTCTTGGGCTATTATTTTCCTTGTGTCTTTGGTGTTCTTCTTTCTCCTTTGCTCCAGGTGAGTTGGGACCAACTGATGCATCTTACATGGCTGCTTGCTAGCTTTTAAGGCACCAGATGCCACTCACCAAAGTAGGATGTGAACCTTTTCTTAACAAACTTTGTTATGACAACTGACCTAGACGTCCCCTGAAAGCATGCTCCCCAGACCCCTGCCCCTGCTACTCTGTCCATCGTAGTGTTTGGTTGTATTCAGGAAACTTCTTAGCTTTGGTTTAGTCCAGTTGTGCTGACTTCCCCTATAGTGTGTGTTGTCCTTCCCTTTACCTAAGATAATTCTTGTCTACTATCTAGTTAGTGAATACCCCTCTCCCTCCCATGCCACCCTTGTAACCATCAAACAATGTTTTCTTCTGTGTTTAAACCTTTTCTTGAGTTCTTATAGTAGTGGTCTCATACAATATTTGTCCTTTTGCGACTGACTGATTTCACTCAGCATAATGCCTTCCACATTCATCTACGTTATGAGATGTTTCGAGGATTTCTCATTGTTCTTTATCATTGTATAATATCCCATTGTATGAATATACCATAATTTGTTTATCCATTCGTTCATCGATGGGCATCTAGGTTGTTTCCATCTTTTTACTATTGTGTGTTGTTTGGTTCCTTGGCTGCTACTTCCATTGATGTCGATTGTGGATCCAAGTAAAATGAAATCCTTAACAACTTCAATATTTTCTCCATTTATCGTGATGTTGCTTTTTGGTCCAGTTGTGAGGATTTTTGTTTTCTTTATGTTGAGGTGTAGTCCATACTTAAGGCTGTAGTCTTTGATCTTCATTAATAAGTGCTTTAAGTCCTCTTCGTTTTCTGCAAGCAAGATTGTGTCATCTGCATATTTCAGGTTGTTAATGAGTTTTCCTCCAGTCTTGATGCTGAGTTCTTCATACAGTCCAGCTTCTTGGATTATGTGCTCAGCATACAGATGGAATAAATATGGCAAAAGGATACAACGCTGACACACACCTTTCCTGATTTTAAACCACACAGTATCCTGTTGTTCTGTTTGAAAGACTGTTTCTTGGTTTGTGTACAGGTTCCACATGAGCACAACTAAGTGTTCTGGATTTCTCATTCTTCCTAATGTTACCCGTAAATTGTTGTGAGCCACTCAATTGTATTCCTTTACATAGTCAATAAAACACAGGTAAACATATTTTCTGATATTCTCTGCTTTCAGCCAACATCCATCTGACATCAGCAATGATATCCTTTCTTCCATGTCCTCTTCTGAATCTGGCTTGAATTTCTGGCAGTTGTTCCCTGTTGATGTACTGCTGCAACCACTTTTGAACGATCTTCAGCAAAATTTTACTTGTGTGTGATATTAATCTTGTTCCATAATTTCTACATCGTTGGATCACCTTTCTTTGGAATGAGTCTTCCAGTTGGTTGGCCAGGTAACTGTCTTCCCAATTTCTGGGCATAGATGAGTGAGCACCTCCAGCTCTGCATCAGTTTGTTGAAACATCTCAATTTGTATTCCATCAATTTCTGGAGTCTTGTTTTTCGCCAATGCCTTCAGTGCACCTTGGACTTCTTCCTTCAATACCATTGGTTCTTGATCATATGCTACTTCCTGAAATGATTGATCATCAACCAATTCTTTTTGGTACAGTGTCTCTGTGTATTCCTTCCATCTTCTTTTGATATAAATGTACATAAATGAAGATCTCTCTCTCCAGACACACACACACGCACACACCCACACACATTTTTGTCTCTGAGTCTCCAGTGTGACCACTTTAGTCCAAGCCATCGTAAGTCCTCACCTAGTCTCCACATTGCCACACTTCCCTTCAAAACCTCCATATCCAGCCTGATCTTTTAAAATCTGTATCTGATTATGTCACTCCATTGCTTAAACTGAATCAACCTGATGGCAACTTGTGGTGATTACTTAAATTCCCTTCAATGGGCTTTTCAAAGAATTTATAATAATTTAATATAATATACAACCAGGGTCAGCTAACTATGGACCTTGGGCCAAATCTGGTCACATCTGTTTTTGTACAGTCCCAGAGTGAAGAATGGTTTTTAAGAAGAATATTTCACAACATATGAAAATAATATGAAATTCAAATGTCAGTGTCCATAAATGAAGTTTATTGGAAGACAGTTATGCTCATTTGTTTACATATTGTCCTTGGCTGCTTTTATGATACAATGACAAAGTTGAATGATCCACAAAACCTGAAATATTTGCTATCTGGCCCTTTACAGGGAAAATTTGCTGACCATGGTCTAGAGCACAGTCTGACTTTTGCCTACCTATTCATCATCATCCCATGCCTCAACCCTCCCATTCCACTCCCCAACTAAGCACCAACTCATGCAGTCTAGCCCATTGGCCTTCTTTCAATTACTCAAGCATGCCACAGTTTTTCCCACTTCAAGACCTTTGCAATAATTGTTGCCTCTTCCTGGGATGTTTTTACCCTCTTTTTACTGGCTAACTCTTTTTTCATTGTGTCAGATCTCAGCTTTAATGTCATTCCCTCAAACAGCCCTTCTGAAACCTCGTAGTTCAAAGTTGTTGTTGCTGGGTGCTGTCGAGTCAATTCTGATTCATAACGACTCTATGTGACTGAGTAGAACTACCCCATAGGATTTTCTTGGCTGTACCCTTAATAGAAGCCGATTGCCAGACTTTTTTCCTTTCGGTTAGCAGGTGAGCACTTAACCATTGTGCCACCAGGGTTCCTTGGTTCAAAGTAGATTCTTCTATTATTCTATTAGTCTATTTTTTTCTTTATAATTTGTATTAAGTTTTCAATTGCATATTCATGTTTGTCATTATATATATGTATAATATTATTTATTTATTGCTAGATTATAAACTCAATAAGGGCAGAGACTGTGTTCATTTCTGTCAGATCCCTAAGCGTAGAACCTATCACAATGCCTAGCACATGGAATATACTTAATAAATTATTGTCAGATAAATGAGTAAATTAAGGAGTGAGTGTGCTCCTACTGTGTACCAGGTATTGTGCTAAATGCATAACTTTGGGGTGATAAACTTGTCTTAGAATCAGCATTTTCCCACCAACATTTACTTCTGGGAACAGACAGACAAAAAATTAATACAAGAGAATATTTTTATGTGTGAACAAGGTGGATGTGAGGAAATTTGTTTGTTGGGACAGGAGAGGGACTAAATAAGTAAAAGGAAAAGATGAAGAGCAGGTTTTATTTCCCACCAGTAAAATGAGGTACGCAAACTAAGTGATTTCCTAGAATTGTAGGATTCTGCTTCATAATTTTCCCCCAGACCTGCCCTACAAGTTGACAATTCCCCGAGATCTTTCTCCTTGAGTATGTCAGGAGCACACACTACGTTTGAGTGGTGGAAATAAGCATCCTGTTTGTACAGTGCGTGGGAGGGCTAGTGGTAGATTCTCTGCAGCCTCTGGTTAAACGCACTGTGAGGCCCCAGCTATGGAGACCCTAATCCTGCCACCCCACTGGCAGAGCGTCTCAGGTTGTCTACTGCTTGGTCCATTAAGTGCCCAGGGTTGTGAGAATAACTTGCTCTTGAAACAGACAAAAAACAACCAATAAAATAACTGACGAATAATCTTTATTAAATAACAAGCAAATAGTCTATGTAGATACAATCCCTTGTCTGCTGCACGTAAGGGCTTCCCTTTCTCCTGTGGAAGGTGACACCGTGTGACTAAAGTGCAAGTTAAGCAGCATGTTTGAATGCCCTGTAAGACGTGAAGACTCTTGGCAAGACACACAGTTCACACTCGTGTTCTCCCCATTACTGCGCGTGCAGGAGAAAACGAACCATTTCAGTTCACAAAGATATAGAGAGAAAATTATTAGCTTCGTTTAAAATGCCCGTGTGGTGCCTTCTAAGCATCTCTCCTAGCAATTAAACCAGCTGTTATTCTTTAAAATACGTGTCACTTTCTTTGCATTGGGGTCAAACTCAAACTGTGAAGATCCACTGAAGAAATAGAAAAACCCTGCAAATACAGACAAGGGAAATAGTAAGATAATACCCAAAACTCAGAATAATAGCTAACTAAAAACAGAAGGTGTTTATAGTTTTACTCTGTGCTAAGGACTATGCTAAGCAATTTACATGATTTTCTCATTTATCTCTGCAACATTCCTGTAAGAAAAGTATATCTAGCTCCATTTTACAGATGAGCAAGTTGAGGTTTCGACAGATTTAGATGTTGACCCAAAGTCATTAAGCAAGGAAAAGACGGAGGCAGCACTCAATGCCACAGCTTTGACATCAAAGACAGGTTCCTGTTATTAGGTTATTCACTTCCAAACAGATAAAATTCTCTGCTTGTTTGAAACTATGATCTCTTTATTTTCTTTCTTCCCTATACTACTCCTCCCCCACCTTTCCCAGCCTGAGGGGCACTTCTGGCCTAAGAGAAGCACAGCAATTCTTTCAAAAAGTCCAAGACCCTTGACTGCTCTGCTCAGATTACCTTTAATAAAGATCATCAGTCATCACCCCCTTGTCTTTGATTAGGAATACACACACACACACACACACACATAAAATTCTATTAAACCTGTGGCCATCGAGTCGATTCTGACACACAGCAATCCTATAGGACAGAGTAGAATTGTCCCATAGGGTTTCCGAGGAGTAGCTGGTGGACTCGAACTGGCAAACTTTTGGTTAGCAGCCAAGCTCTTAACCACTGCGACACCAGGGCTCCCTATACATATGTATGTATGTATGTATAGATAGACAGATAGACAGATAGATAGATAGACGGTTGTTTTTCTGAAACTTTGAGCACATGGAAAGGTAAATATTTACAACGGATCAGTCTGAACAGTGACTGACTACCCTGGGAAGACAGAGAAAGTCTCCCTGAGAACTAGCAGTGGTGATAGGATAGGACAAAAGAGAAAGCCAGTCAGCCATTATTAAACCCAGTTCACACTTGATGGGATTTCACATGGTATCTAAAAGATAATAGCTCTGGATGTGAAGAAGCAACATGGCATATATAAAATAGAGATTTGTGATAATTATCTTCAAAATTCAAAACAACCTATTATGTAAAATAGACATATAATTGGTACCAAAGCAGGTCAATTACAAATATGGGGGAGGGAGGCAGGAACCATTTTAAAAAATGTTATTTAAAAAAATTGTTTCAATTCTCCTCTTTCCTTTGATACCATAGATTGTTCAAGTTCCCCATTGCCGACAAAATAAGTATCTACTTACCAAATGCTTCAAAAACAGCATCAACCATTGGGTCAACCCCTGGAAAGTCGTCTGCTATTTGCCTGGGAAAGCCTGGCTCCAAGGACTGTCTTGTTTCATCAAAACTGCACAGAATGAAAGAAATACAACTCAACATTACCTGGAGGCTGTGTTATGCAAACTCATGAATCGTGTTAGGTTTAATGTGGAATTCTAGTAAACGTTCCAAGTAGTGCAAATAAATGTCAAACATGTACAACACTACAGAAATACATGACTTTGATCGTTCTGCAAACTTAGCTCTTAAAACCATATTTCTACTAGGATAAGAGGCAATAACCTGCTGTAGCAGATGCTGCTTGTTATCTTATTTCTTAAGCCTGTACAGAAAAAGACTTAACTTTCTGTCTGTCGTAAAGACATGAGGGCATAAGAAACACACTCACAAAAAGTGAATTGAATCATTCATCTAAAATACAAATTTCGCATCAAAATTAATTGGCCTAATAACATGTTTAGTATTTCTACCTCCTAGTTCGTTATGTAGTGTCTGGGGTCTTAAAAGCTTGCAAGCGGCCATCCAAAGCACAACAATTGGTCTCTATTCATCTGGAGCAACAGAGGAAGAGGGAGAGTCAGGAATAGGAGGAGGATATGGAATGTGCAGCTAATTGACTCCATAAACAACAGCCTCCTTTGACATGAGGCCAGAAGAAGTGAATGGTGCCTGGCTACCACTACTAAATATTTTGATCAAAGATTCTATAGAAGATTCTTTGATCAAAAGGAGGGAAATGCAGAACAGAATTTCAAATTATCATGGACTCCAGACTTCCTGGAGCCATGGAGGGTGAATGGACCCCTGAAGCTATCTTCCTGAGATGATCTTTAAACCTTAAACAAAAATATCCCCTGAAGTCTTCTTAAAACCAATCAGTAGTTTAGCTTAACTAGTAAAAATATCTGCCTGGAGCATGATCCTCTTTTAAGAACTGTCTATATGGGATCAAACTGATAACACCAACTTGAAAGATTAGATAGGAACCTTAGGGGACATTGAATTTATTTTAATGGGGGAGGAACAACTCAGAAAAGGAGGGTGAGAATAATTGCACAACTTGGAAGAATGTTAATCAATGTCACTAAATGGTACATGTAGAAACTGTTGAATTGGTGTATGTTTTGCCGTGCATATTCTCAACAACAACAACAACATACATAAAATTTAAAAAATAAATTTTAAAGTTTGAAATTTTAGAATTTCAAGTTTTCTACCACACTTGGCCTATATATATCTGCCCTTCCCACTTTGTACATCTCAGTTTCCTCTGGCAGCCTCCTAGAAAAAGGGATTGGGCTAAGAAGCAAAGCACAGTAAATGCATTTTTGGCCATTGGCAGGACTTGGGTTGGAATGCCCTGATGTCTCAGAGTTTGGGCAGATAACCCAGGAATCAGCCCCTCTGTGAGTCCTGGGCTCTATCCATGAAACTGGACTGCTATTGCTTGTCTTCCTCTTAACACAGGCAGCAATCACGAATGGATGAGTTCAAGGGAAAAACCCTTGAGAATCATATAGTAGGGTTGGGAAGACAAGACAAACACACAATGACACCATGTACAGACCTATAACACAATGGGAAAGGAATGCTAAATTGTTGCCTGGACACTCAGGGCTTGAAAGTTCAGAGTAAAAGGGCCCAGTGAGCTTGGAGTCCAGCAGGGAATGCTTCATGGAGGTGGTGAGACTTGAGGCAGGCCCTGAAGAATGGATGGGATTTGGGTTGGTGGAGGGGAGAAGAGGAGGCTCCAGACAGGAGGAGCTACAGCACAGGGGGGAAACTCCAGCTTATTGCGCCTGGGACTCAGAACAGGAGAGCTTGTTTGTTGATGATCAGTCAGAGGCACTGCTAGGTTTTAAAGTAAGCTTTTCGCCACAATTGTCTAAAGCCCTATCCTGACAAGAGGGAGGCCGAGGCTGAGGCAGGAGGGAATTTCTTGTCGAGAAAGAGACTATTTTCTCTGAGAGTCCACAAAAAGCATCCTGATTGCACGTTACCTCCAGTATTTGTCTTCTACAAAGAAGTATCTTTTCTTCTTTTGCTTGTCATAAACAGCTGCATCAATTTTGCTTATGGTTGGAGGAAAGCCCAGGGTGTGGATAGCTCTCGGATAACCTGCAAGTATGTCACTTCCTCTGATGGCCCAGAACTGATTCCCTGTTAAAAAAAAAAAAAGAAAGTTACCCTGAGATAATCTTTAAACCTTAAACTAAAAACATCCCCTGTTGATAATCAAACAATAGTTTAGCTTAATTAGTAAAGAATGTCTTCCTTGAGCATTGTGCGCTTTTTAAGATCTATGTGGGATCAAATTGACAACAGCAACTTGAAAGGTTAGGGAGGAAGCTTAGGGGGCAGCGAGTTCATGCTAATGGTGGAGGAACAACTCAGAAAAGGAGGGTGAGAATTATTACACAATTGAAGGATGTAATCAATGTCACTGAAGAGTACATGTAGAAATTGTTGAATTGGTATATGTTCTGTTCTGTATATTTTCAACAACAATAACAAAATAAATTATTAGAAGTAATAAGAATTTAGAGTCTCATTAAATTTTTAACAATTACATCACTTGGTTTTATAAATACATTTTAGCACATTTGATTATTGTGCTAAAGAGGAAGCCAAGATTTTAGATTAAGCCACCAGTTCATAGTGTTCATTTAACAAAAATGTGCAGATTGAATGAATGAACAAAGATAAAATGAAGAAATTTACAACTCTGGGCAATGCATCTTTCTGTGTTCCTTTTTGTCATCTGTAAAATATAAATAAAATAATTCCCGTCCTGATTATTCTTTATTACCTTAAGGAAATAAAGTAGTAAAAATTTGATACAGAAGAGAAAATTAAAGTCCTGTTCAATTTTCTTGTGAGAAGGTTTATTTCCCCAAGTTAAAGAAAATACTATACAATAATTACCTTTGAAAATGAAAACAGTATCCTTGCCAGTAACTTCTAATGCAGCATCCACTCCTGAAGGAAGAGATGGCCAAAATGAAGAGATCAAATGAAATCCAGTTTCGAGTGCCCTGAAGGATTTGCGCCAAAAATGTCTGAAATAATATAAAAAGAAATGTAAAGTCTTTCACCTATAATGTATTTTCCTCCCTGTTCTGCCTCACCTATTTTCCCTCATTCCCTCATCTTCCACGCTCCATAGCAGTCTGAGAAATCATGTGTATTGCCATAGAGCACATGTCTTTCTCTCTTCTTCAGAAGCCTGCAATGGGCTGCCTGGCATAGGGTTCCAGAATAATGTCTTGTACGAAAGGGAAGTTATTTTACAACGCAGATTAATTAGCCAATTGTAAGTTTTAAATACTTGCAATGCATACAAAACAGTGTGTTTAATACAGCATCATTTACATTTTTTCAGAAAGATAGGCAGATGTGTGTGTGTGCTGTATAAGTATATTCTTATATATGCATAGAATAATTGTGGGTAGGTATATGAGAGTCCTTTACTATGGATGAATCTTGGAAGAAATGGAGAACCGAGAGTCAATAATATGAAGGAGATTTGCTTTGAACTTTTTTCTCCTTTATGCAGTTCGAATGTTTTATCATGTATATGTTTACCCAGCACTAAGTAAACGACTTGATTAAATGTAGTATGTACCCTGGCGTCATTTCTAAAGGGGGTACGGATAAAAATCCTTATACTAAAGACCTACTTGTGCCTTTTGAAAAGTAACTGTGACTTATCACATTTGGGAAACATTAGAGGACAAGTATCAAATCATCCTGTCTGAGTTTTCAAAAAGTGAACTTGACAATTTCAGAAAGTGTAGAAAGGGTGGAATCAGATCTGAATGATTTCAAAGCTCAGAGGAAACATTTTTGTTTTAAATGTTTAAAATCTCTAAGACTTTCTATTTGTTCTCCTCTCTAAGCACTGTAGATCAAAATAATAGCTAGGAAAAATAGTGATCCAGTCTCACCTGCCTTTGAAGAACAGAATTTCTCCCCTGAGAGTGCCGACTGCATCGAAGGACAAGGCAGGGTCACACATGGCTGGTGTCTCAGGTGCTGGAGGGCTGGATTTTGTGGGCACCACGGGTTTATCAGAGGAGGCAGGGGGAGGTCCTAAAGGGAAGAGATGCAAGGATGCAAACCTTAGGAGAAATGTGATGCTCCATCAATTACTATGCTTTTTAAGCATTCTCAAGGTGCTTTGAGTTGAAACCTTATGTAGCATTTTCAGGTTTCCTTGCAAAGTTTGTAAAGTTTTCCTGCAGAGCTACAATGCCTAGTTTTCCAGCATCACTCACCATAGAGGGACTGAATGCCGTTCACATCATCTTGAGAAAGGCGGAATCGGGCCAGGTCTGTGTGTGGGTCGTAGACTGGGTACATCAAAGCTTCAGGGTTGGACGAGTGAAAGAGACCCAGGGAGTGGCCGAGTTCATGAGCAGCGACGAGGAATAAATTGGTCCCTGTTCGAGAAATCATAAACAACAATTATTTATTCTTTAAATAAATGTACATAACACAAGTCAGCTGTGTATCATATTTGTTTGGGCCTTTTATGCCTTGCATGTTGGTTAACTGATAGATTGAATACACACTTCATTGCGGAAGGAAAAAAAAGTTGCCATCGAGTCACCTCCAATTCATGATGACCCCATGTGTCAGCAGAACTATGCTCCACAGGGTTTTCAATGGCTGATTTTTTGGAAGTAGATCACCAGGTCTTTCTTCCAAGGAGCCTCTGGGTGGACTTGAACCTCCAATCTCTTGGTTAGCAGCCAAGTACATTAACTCTTTGCACCACCCAGGCAAAGCCAAGTGTTTTTCAAGGCACATAATTGAACTCAATCTTTGAGACAGAGGTGTCTAGCTACATGCCTTAGTTATCTAGCGCTGCTATAACAGAAATACCACAAGTGGATAGTGTTAACAAATACAAATTTACTTCCTCACAGCTTAGGAGGCTAGAGGTCCAAATTCAGAATGCTGTCTCTAGGGGAAGGCTTTCTCTCTCTGCTGGCTCTGAAGGAAGGTCCTGGTCTCCTTCGAGCTTCTGTTCCTGAGCAATCTTCATGTGGCTTGGTACCACTCTTTCTCTATGTCTGCTCTGCTCACTTGTTTAATCTCTTTTATATCTCAAAAGAGATTGACTCAAGATATACACTACGCTAATCCTGCCTCATTAACATAACAAAGACAACCCATTCCTAAATGAGATTATAACCACAGGCATAGAGGCTAGGATTTACAACACATATTTTGGGGGGACACAATTCAATCCATAACACTACATTTAACTTCCTGCCCCACCCACTCTGCCATTTCCACCCACCACCAGCGTCAGAGCCTATTAACTTCACAAGAACCAGGTGTCTTTTCTTCTGTTCAGGAGTGTAATGGACCCAGTTGTTTAGAATATCAATAAATATTTCTTTTCATTTGTCAATGAAAATTTGAAAAGCTAAACACTGTTTCAATGTAGTAAAATTTGCCAGTTACAGTCTCAGTTGAATGAATCACAGTCGACTCATTTCAGTTCTGAAATTCATAGATAGCCATACTCCTGTTCTTTTCCATTGGAATACTGCCTGCATAATTTTTCTGCCTTATCATCATTATTTAATATACATTGAGTCAAACTGATTAATTATGATAGATGTCATAGGATTTGACCAATCTTATCTAGCGCATTTGTAAGAAAAGAGATTTTGGCCACACAGACACTGGCTGTATTCAGATATTTTTCTTCATATTAAATTAAAAAAAAAACCATAATCTAGAAATTGGAAGGCATTGGGTAATTACGATTGACATAAGTAACATAACAAGTAAGTATACTTTTGGAAATATTATTTGTCTAACCCATGACCCTAGGAAAGTTCTTACTTGAGACATTGCAGGAAGAGGTTAACTAAATCAAACCAAGAATTTTATCCAGTACTAACCTCACATTTGTACTCTCTACAGAAATTCTGGTTGCATTTTCATTATAAAGCCCAACCAAATCCTAGAAGCAGTATTATTTGTTTCAGCTAATTGTTTGAAACTTTGGAAGCAATTCCTCAAAGTATATAGCTTTGAACCAAGAAACATTCTTCTACCTAAACAGTTTGGACATTGTATTGTTTTTTAAATTATTTCCTTCAGAACAAGTTCATGAAAACTCTCCTTAACCTTGCAGCAGGAAAATGTTGATATAGCCAGAATAATCTAAAAGAGAACCTCAATGTCTATAAGTTGATTCTGATTTCTGTTTTGAAGAAGAAAGAAGTAAATGGGAGAAAATATATAAACACTATTGAGGGCATATTTTATGGTCAGTGTACATTTAATGCAATACACTATTCCTCGGATATCTGAAATGTGATATAATGAGAATTTGGTCTTAATAATAATGGACTGAAGATCCCACAAGATCCACAGTTATCAAAGAAACACTCGATTATCTTTCTTACATTGTGCTTACCAAAACAGGAAATAAACTTTTAAACATCTGGAAAAGTTTTCAACATTGGTTAAAACAAAAATATATTCTGCTACCCACTGGAAAATCTTGAACATCCTATTTCTTGAGTATTCTTGGATACTAAGAGTTTTCCAAATATAAAAAGAAATTCGCACCACAATCATTATGAGAGAGGTTTAACTCACCTGTTTTATCTTCTGTCCATTGCTCATCATCATCAAAATGAGCATCTCCATTAATCCCCGTCCCAGGCGCATAGGCATGTGCAAGAACTTTTCCAGGTCCATCAAAAGGGATAAAATCTCCATGTTCTAAAAGGGAAGATGTTTGTTTTTTTTTAAAAAAAAAAAAAGGAAAGATAGGTAATTAGTATCTCTTTTCAGCCTTTTCAGGTAAAACAACACCAGGTAAAGGAATAATACATCTCGTGTTTTTTGTTTGGTTGGTTGTTTTTACCTCTAACTGCAAAAGAGATCATTATGTCAGCCTCTCCTTCATTAATCCTGGAGAATGTGAGAGGAGTAACCTTCTCCCACACTTTCAGAGCTTTCTCAATCACAGCATCAACAGCAACTCTTGACAGATCCAGTGTATAATTCACAATTCTGTAAAAGAAAAATAGACGATAACATTTTCTCTTGTGACAGTAACTTACAAAGTTTTAATCTTATGTGAAAACCTTTTCAGACCCATTACCTGTAAGTAAGGTGAGTTTTCCTCCACTTTGGCGAGCCAGGAAAGGTAGTGAATTGACTGACGTCAGGGACTCCACATCTGGGCTTGTGCATCACTTCTATGGTGTTGGAGTCCAGCTTCCCCGTCACCTCCAACCCAAGGAACTTCTGCATTTCTTGGATTTTTTTAACAACAGGGCTGCTGTCCTTTCTTCTCACAAGGTGTTTCTCATCTTTTGCAAGGTTGTAGTAGTTTTCTAGGTATTGCTAATGGAATAATTGGGTCTTAGGTTATTCTTGTGATTTTTATCTGTTTATAATAATTTTTACAGTTAATCAGATTTCTTAATGTATTTGAAGTATTCCTCTAGTTTGCTGAAATTAAAATAAACAACATGTTTGCTTAATTCTTAAAGCCTCCTCCTTATCTTTGCTTTGTCTTTGTAAGTAAATACTTCTGCAGATTAGTTTGCTACCAAAGCAATGAGAGTGAAGTGAGAAATTGAAATAATATCTGGTTCACTTAAAGAAGAAAAACAAAACAGACCTCTTTTGGCATAACTGTATATTTTAGGTAAAAGTATTCAATTTCCTCAGTTTTCCACTTTATACTGCTCACAAGGATGTGGCTTAAGCAAAAAGTCGGTCAAATGCCTTTGTCTAAATAAGACATGAGCCATATAAATATTTAGTTAAAGTTACATTGAATCAAAATATCTAAAGAAGTTCCAAAACAAAACACACTTCATTACGTGCCACTTGTTCTTTATGTGGGTCAAGTCCCAATGCCACTGCTACTATGGTGTTGTGTGATCTCAAGAAAAAACCTAACATTTCTGGTCCTTTGTTTCTTCCTGCATAAAAAGAGGAGCCTGAATGATGTAATACTGAGACTTTTCCACATCTAATACTACACAACTTTCTGTCCCTGAACTATTTCTACACAGTAAGGTCAAATCATTCTAATAAGAATGGAAGGCAGAAAGCATTTCCCTACTTGTCCCTACCAGTGGGTGCAATGGCTACCTCCATTAATTACCTGAACAAGATCCAAGTCCTTATTCTTTGCTGTTCCTTCCAGAGGGTAAGCCGAGCAAGCCGCCACACATAGAAGCACAAGGATTGGAAGACTCTTCATTTCCACTGACTTTACTCAGCTCTACTTGGAGATAACTCTTCACACTCTACCTCTTTCTAGGTCCTTGCTCTGGAGCCCAACTTTTATAGGATGACAGTATTTGTTTGGAACACCCACAGCTTGACTCATGATTTCTTTCATCCAAATGGCAATGGTCCAGTAGGACCATTTCCAAAAATTCCAAACTGAAAGTAGGGTGGTACAACCTACTTTACTAATTTCTCTCAATCTTTCCAATTTTACGAAGCAAAACAGTGATTAATCTCCAGGAATTGCTTCCTGTTTTGGTAAAGGAAAAAACTGGGCATTTTTTTGTTTTAAAAAACTTTGGGAAAAAAACAGACTGGAATTTACTAGACAAGTCATGCCTATGTGTTTCTGAGGAGAAGCAGGCTGACTTAGCAAAAGTTAGAGTTGTGCAGAACTTTCAAATGCAGTTATATTTTAAGAAAAATGTATTTTAGAATAAAATGTAATATAATAAGATGTAAAGAAATGAAATGCTGTACACATGTAGCTATGGTCTGTATCTAGAAGAAAATTGGAAAGGAGAATTTATTTTTTGAGTCTTGGCTTCGAAGTACCAGTTGCCGAAGAGTCACTTCCAACTCATGGAACCCCCATGTGTTGCACAGTAGAACTGTGCTCTATAGGGTTCTCATGCCTGAAACCTTTTGGAAGCAGATTGCCAGGACTTTCTCCCCAGACGCCTCTGGGTGAGTTCCAATTGTCAACATTTACAGCCTTGCACTTAATCTTTTGTACAACCCAGAGAAATACTTACTATTAATTTCTGGTTGGATCTGCTAGTCCTTGAGGAAGAAAAGTTCAGGGACAGGATAGAATAGAGAGAGTCTGTGAAAAAGAAGGAAGTGTATCTATTCTCTCATGGTTGGTTTTAATTCTATACCCAATTTATTAAGGGTACAAAATAGTTGCTCCATAAATACTTGCAGAATTAACATAAATTACATCACTCACTGGACTGAAATCCTCTTCTGTCTTTATCTTCTACACTTTTCTTCTACACTTCTAGCTGTGAACAGTAGGAAAAAAAAATTGGTCGTTTTTAGCACAGAACTGAAAATGGCTTCCACAGAACAATCGTTGGTTATATGGCTAAATAGATACAAGAGATAGATAATAGCTGGTTTTATAAATCTAGTATCCCAGGGATCCAGGGACTTTTGATGAAACTTTTATTCAGCCTGATCCAAATTTGGATTCAAAATCTGGCTGTTGATCCAAGTAACATTCTATCTGATAACTTTTCATATCTGTCTTTCTATTTATCTTGCTTTTCCATGACTAATTAGACAAGATAATGCATGACCCTTACTACCTCTAGTTGAAACAATCATTCTTTCAGCTAGGCACTCATTTATCAAGTATCTTAGTCTTAGATGCTTCAGAATATCCAAACTAAGACGGTAGATTTGGAGATAAAAATCAAAAGGAACACCTAGAGAAAAAGTGATCAAAGTAGTTATTCTTAAAAAGGAAGGCAGGAAGAAAGTTCGTTGGTTATAATCTAGTAGGGAAGAAGAGCCCTGTGCAACTGATTCTACAAGGAATAAAGTGAGAAGCTGTATTAGAATTAAGCAGAGGAAAAGGTGTTTACTTTAGAAAAAACCCATAGATAAAATAGCTCATAGGTGGATCCTAGAATGATTTGGACAGGGAGGTAAATACAAGAACAGAATAAATATTATGCAGAGTCAAGAAAGCTTAAGGTCTATATACAAAAAGGCAAAGAGTTGATTTTTTATTGAAGTAAAAAACGTGTGAAGAGTGGTAATGAAAAATAAGGTTGTGGGAAGATAGATTGGAGCCGATTACGGAAGGCCATTAGCTAAAGTGTTTAGAGTTTATTCTGTTGGTAAGGTGGAGAGTCATATTTCTCAATAAAGTTTTTTTTCCTAATATGCTCATTATAGAAAATTTAGAATATATGAAAAAGTAGAAAGAAAAGAAATCATTTATAGTCATATCACACAGAAAAACCATTGTTAGCACTTTTGCTGTACTTTCTTATGATTTTTTATACCTATATATGCTTTTTTTTACATCCTGATGATCATTTGAAATTTGTAAAATTTTATATATTACAATTCTGAATCCCATCAGCCAGAGAGAAGCACTAACAAGGCAGTGTATTTCATCTGAATTGTAGGGTAAAACAATGTCGCTTATGAGTTTTCTCATGTATGTTTCTCATAATTGAAATCAGACTATAGATGCTGATTTTTATGATTACTTTTCACACACTTTCAAACTTTCTAGTTGGAAGGTGAACTAGAATGGAAGACGGGATTAGGGACAGATAATATCTGCAAGTGGATGGCTCAGTCTTGTTTTCATTTATAAAAGCATATGGACTCAATCATTCCATAAAAAAACCCCATACCTGTTGCTGTCGAGTTGATTCTGACTCATAGTGACCATCTAGGACAGAGTAGAATAGCTCCCATAGGGATTCCAAGAAGCGGCTGGCGGATTCAAACTGCCGACCTTTTGGTTAGCAGCCAAGCTCTAACCACAAAATTGTCAAACTCTACCATTCAAATTCCTTGGCAATGACAATGGCCTTTATATGGCTCTAGGAAACTCTGGTTTTATGGCAAGAAAGAGAGCATTTTGCAATAATCCTAGCATAAGTACTTCAATTGTGCAAACAGTATAGCATCAAATAAGATGTTTAATGATATTCCAACAAGGCAGTATATTCCATCTGATTGTGGGGTAAATACTTTCTTTTTATATGAGGACTGGAGTGGAGGCAGAAGGGGAACAGGTGTGAGAAGCACTACAGATTGATCTTAACCTTAGGTCACAGAATTCGCCTGACCATCGTTCAAGCAGATAAGTCACTTTGTCAAACAAACTTAGTAAAGACAGTTCTGTTGAGCCTTTTATAGCCTGATACATCCCTTCTGGAATTGTTAGTTTTGAGTCATCTTTTAATTGGCAATTGTATGCCTTTATGTAATTTTTTTTTTTCAAGAATTGTTTAGGAGTGAAATTTACTGATACTTGCATGTCTGAGCATACCTTCTGTTAACCTCTCCTATGGAAGATATCTTGGTTGGGTATGAAATTCTAGGGTTATAATGTTTTTCTCTCTCTTCCAAAATTAAGATCCATGCAATAGAGAGAGGGCTGCAATGTTTTCTAGTTGATAGAAAAATAAGGTCCTGGTCTCTGGGCAGACAGGTAAGGAGAAAATTATCTTTCTAGCTCTTTTAGATGGCCAGAGGTTGCTGAAGTTTCATAAGACAAACACAGATAAGCCTCCAAATATTTGTTTCAATCCAGTTTCACTTTCTTTACAGTCAGTAGAAAAAATTCATTCTAAAACAATCAACCTTGTTTTCATTGTTATAACTTTTTCTTCTGTTTTCATATGCTTTAGCACAATGTTGGGAAAGGCTGCTTTAGTCCTTAGTAGCTAGGTATTTCTTAGATTAAAATTTTTCCCAAGTAAGTTTCTTGATCAGATGAGTGACAACATCAGAACTGTACTTCTGAGAAATTCATCTGGTAACAATCATGGAGTTTGATTAGAATGTGAGTAAAGTGGAGTTTAGTGCTTTAGGGCTATTATAATAATCCAAGTAAGGTGTAAGAAGAACCTGAAGGACAGCAGATATAAGTCAAAAGAATGAGAAAGGAAAGATATGATACAGACAGGGAGAAAAAAAAAAAAAGAGGCAGGATGGGGAAGGCATGCCATGTCATTAAATCTTATAAACTGGAAACTTGGCGGGAAAAATTGAAACTAGCCAGTCTACAGTTAAGATTGGGTTCCTTTCTCTGTGACTTGGCAGATCTTTGTCTGGAAAAGTTGTCTCTTAACTCCATGGATTATAAAACCAAAACAACCCATTGCTATAGAGTTGATTCCAACTCATAGTGACCCTATATGACAGAGTACAACTGCCCCTTAGGATTTTCAAGGTTGTAATCTTTACAGAAGCAGATCACTACATCTTTCTCTCATGGAGCTGCTAATGGGTTCAAACTGCTAACCTTTCAGTTAGCAGCCAAGTGCTCTACAATTTGTGCCATGGGGGTGTCTCTATAATAGATGGACATCCTGGGTATATTCCAGATGGCTAGACGACTTCTTTTTTTTGCTGTATATATATATATATATACATGCACACATATATATGTATATATGTGTATATATATATGTATGTATATATGTTGTTAGGTGCAGAGTCAATTCCAACTCATAGTGACCCTATGTCCAACACAGCAATGCCTGGGTCCTGTGCCATGCTCACAGTCGTTGCTATGCTTGAGCCCATTGTTGTAGCCACTGTGTCAATACATCTTGTTGAGGATCTTTCTACTTCTCACTCACCTTCTACTTTACCAAGTATGATGTCCTTCTCCAGAGACTGGTTCCTCCTGACAACATGTCCAAAGTAAGGGAGATGAGATCTCACCATCCTCACTTCTAAGGAACATCTGTCTGTAGTTCTTCCAACATAGATTTATTCATTCTTCTGGCAGTCCGTGGTATATTCAATATTCTTGGCTAACACCGTAATTCAAATGCATCAATTCTTCTTCCTTCTTCCTTATTCATTGTTCGGCTTTCACATGCATATGAGGCGACTGAAAATAACACAGCTTGAGCTAGGTGCACCTTAGTCTTCAAAGTGACATCTATGCTTTTTAACACCTTAAAGAGATCTTTTGAAGCAGATTTGCCCAATGCAATACATCATTTGATTTCTTGGCTGCTGCTTCCATGGGCGTTGATTGTGGATCCAAGTAAAATGAAATCCTTCACAACTTCAATCTTTTCTCCATTTATCATGATGTTCCTTGTTGGTCCAGTTGTGATGATTTTTGTTTTCTTTATGTTGAGGTGTAATCCATACTGAAGGCTGTAATCTTTGATCTTCATCAGTAAGTGCTTCAGGTCATCTTCACTTTCAGCAAGCAAGGTTGTGTCATCCTCAGATCACAGGTTGTTAATGAGTCTTCCTTCAAACCTGATGCTGCATTCTTCTTCATATAGTCCAGCTTCTCAGATTATTTGCTCAGCATACAGATT